GACCAAAATTCCCGTAATTGCATATTGTCATTTTGGTGTAATAAGTAACAGTGTTGAAATTGCAAAAACGGTGGAAAAGGCCCAAGTGTAGAGGATGACTTAAACTTATTTTATTCTTCATAATTTAAGGACTTTTTCACTATTACTTTATTATTGCTTGGTTTTACACAAATTGTCTTAGTATACTCCTCTTTGTTTTTAATTTTAAGTGCAGCAGTAAAAATAATATGCAACTAAATTCAAACTTGAAAAAAACTAAGAAGGTTTGAGAGATTGAGTGAGGCAGATTGTCATGAAAATATGTAACACGAAGCATTATAAACAGCCACCAGTGTTGGTACATGACTGTAATCCCAGCACTCTGAAGGCTGAGGCAGGAGGATTACAAGTGTAACTCCAACCTGGGCAATTTAGAGATTTAGAAAGATTTTTGCCTCAAAAATAAAATAAATAAAAAAAGAATTTAAAAAGGCCTGGTTCTGGTTCAACTCTTAGCATTGGAAAAAAAACAAAAACCCAAAATGTAAGGTGTTTAATTAAGCAACAGGGCTGGGGATTTAGCTCAGCGGCAAAAAGCGCCTGCCTGGCAAGCGCAAGGTCGTGAGTTCGGTTCCTGGTACCGGAGAAAAAAAAAAAAAAAAAAAAAAAAAAAAAAAAAATTAAGCAACAGTCCACAATGCAAATTAGAATTGTCCATATGTAATTATTTATGCATATAGATGTATACATGTGTGTATACATACACGCTAGATTTAATATCATTATTTCATAAAAAATTAATAAAATGGCTAAAATGTCAGGGTTTTTCCTAGCTTTGCTTTATTTTGATGGTTGTGTTTGTATCTCCCTTCTTCACTCAGAAACTATTACAATGATAAACTTAATGACATGGGAGTATTTACTTATAACTTTTGTATATATTATTTCTATATCATACATGCGTGCTGAGCCAGGTATTTGTGTGAGTGTCATGTTGTCCATTAGGAGACAAATACACTGCGTAAATGATTGGAGGATAATGGAGAGTGACTGGTGAGACAGGACAGCAATAGGAAGACTGGAGAGCAAACGCAGCAGTGCACTGAGAAAACATCATCTCAACGCAGTGTTGCGTGGGATGAGGATTTTGTCAAATTAAGCGGGAACAGAGATGAATTTGAAATGAAATCAATTAAACTGAATACCTGTTTTTTCCTTTTCCTGTGCTTTTTTTGAAGTATATAAGTGAGAGAAAAACTAGCATTACAGCGCTTTTAAAGCCACAATAATCACAGGAAAGAAAAAACTCATCTAAAAATAACAGAAGAATAACTGGAGTAAGGGAGAGAAGAGAGCAACACTACAATACTCATAAAACTAAACTGAAAATCCTTATAAAGAAAATCAGTGAAGTGGAAGACAAAGATGAAAAGATCATCATACAAATCCGCAGACCGCATATTAAAAATCCAACAAAGAAAACAGGAAAACCACCAACAAATGAGTAAGAGGGAATCTTGCACCCGAGAACTGAAGAGCCTGAGGCTCCATATTGAAAGGGGATTTGACTATCTCTCCTGTAATTGACAGAAGACTCATCTTAGTTTATTGAAGTGAAATTTAACTAAAGCCTAGGGTAAGAAAATTCAGAGTATCGGGGCTGGGGATTTAGCTCAGCGGCACAGCATCTGCTGGGCAAGCACAAGGTTGTGAGTTCAATTCCCATTACCAGAAAAAAACAAAAAACAAACAAACAAAAAGAAACCTTCAGAGTATCATCTACAGAATCCATACCAACCAGACAGTGAGTGGAATAGTCATCGGTTTGTCTTACCAACTGTTGGCAGATCAAATGTGATAGAAAAACACCTCACGACACTGAGAATAATTTAATTGCGAACAAGAATTAGGTATACAAATGAACTACAAATTAGGGGAAGAGACAAAATGGAAATTTTCAAGCAAAGAGTAATGTATAAAATTACCCCTGCACACATACTTTATTTTAGAAGGAAACTGAAACTACTGAATTTCATAAGCTTTTCTTTTAGACTCTAGGCATAAATTGAGAACCATTTCAAATATAATGCTTGCATATTTATACCTATTTTCAGGAATTCCTTCTTTTTCTCTTCATTTAATCAAGCTAAAGTTTGATTCCAGAGCTTTATTCAAGTTAACCCCTGAGCATATGCCAACCTTAAATTTTCATTTGGAAATACAGTAGTTACTGAAACATTTGAAGAAATTTCTAAAGGAAATGTTACATCCTTCTAATTTTTTTCTTCCTATCCTTTAATTTCCTCTTTATATTAAATCCTGATTCTAGCTATGTTAATAATATTTGCTATTTCTTCCTGTGCACCAGGCTAACTTCTGACTTTCTGAAGAATATTTGCATTTCTACCTAAACAGTAGTGGTTTTCTTGGTGCAGTGGAAGGGGTGAGCTTCAGTGCCTGATTAATTAAATCTATAGAGCAAAAATTTTCATTATTTATGTCTTGGAGATCTCAATAATTCTCAAACTTTTATATAATCAGTATGTAAATTATTTAATGAAATTTAAGTGCTTATAACTAGAATTTCTGAGTCAAGAAATTTCAGAGGAATCTGAGACAATAGTAAGTGTGACAAGTTAATTTCACTCACATGAATGGAGTACTGAGAGGTTAGTGAACTTGCCCCATAGGACACATTTAGTGGGAAATACTATTTGGTACAAAAGCAATTTTAGATTATTTCTAGTAAATCAGTCACACTAGTTGACTTGTATGTGTTCATCTAATTCTTCTTTGACCGTAAAGGTAATGTTTTTAAATGTATGATTAACATATGTGTTACCTGTACAAATATACTTCTACAAAGGAAAACATTCAAACCAATGAGAAAATTATGATTTAATAATATTAGTAGTCAAAACTACCTACATAAATTCTCAATAATTTTTATATTGCTAATATTTGAATAAAGGGTAATGATTTTATTTTAACTAAAATATATGCCAAACATTACAAGTATTGAAATATCAAGCTTAGTGATTTACTTAGTATAAAAGATATCCCATACTTCCAATGTATGAGCATTAAATAGCTTTTCTTACCAACATAAACTTTGCAGATTCCCATTGTACCTAAAGTATTTCCAAGTAGTTTTTCATCATATATTTTTTTCCTTTTGTTTTTATAAATAAATTGCTGTTTGTACAGACAATTGCTCCTAATGCCTATATGGTTGCATTGGAATGAATTCACATGCTGAAACCCTAATTTCGAGTACCTCAAAATGTGACTGTATTTGGAGCCAGAGCATTTACGGAGGTAAGTTCCAAAGAAGTCATATTCATAGGCCCTCATCTCACATGACTGCTGTCCTCCAAGAAGGGAAATACGGAAACAAACTAGCACAGAAGGAGAACGTGTGAAAACAGTCAAACTGGGCCTCCTGCAAGCCCACGAGAATGGCCCTCATTTGGCCCCTCCATCCGTGATAGTTTGTTATGATAACTCTAGCAAAAATATATAGCAGCATTGAAAAAGTAAAGATGGAGACACTGAAGAAATGATTTTTGTACTGAAAGTAAGGTCTGCAGATTTCACATTTTTGCTTAGCATCAGACATGCAGTTTGAAACAATCCCCCAGTTTATCTGCACGTCATCCCAGGCTTTGTTGAATGACTGCGTGTAAAGGCAGTTACACTCCCTAGCAGAATGCAGCATGAAGTGAAATGGCTTCTGCCAAGAATCATTTTGTTTGTAGGAAGTGATCTTGCATATCAACCTTCTTCAGGAGGTTATTCTTCCTTCCCGAGAGAGCCTTGCTGCTTGGGGAAAACCAGAGAGCGCCATTGCTTTTCTCCTTGATACGAACTTTTAAAAATTTTTTTATGTAAGTAGTTTATAAAACATATTATACTGAAAACTGCTTAAACTTCATGGATATCATAATGCAGTTTCCATGGATGAAGCAAAAGTAATGCTGGGGAATGGAATAGAGAAAAATAAATTCAATAGTCATTCCTGATAGGAAGGACAGGAGAGTATGCAAAGGGATAACAGCAAAAAAAAAAAAAAAAAAAAAAGAGGAGAAATGCAGATTCCCATGGACACTCTGCCACCACATCCACCCCAGTCTGATAATTTGAAAATAAGCATTTGTGAAAGAATAATGCTGAACAGACATTGCCTACGTGATACATATTTCAACTCTATTTTCTCATGTGTAAAGTTTTACTGCCACAACCTTGCAGGTTAAATACTTTCATAGATATTTTATAAGTATAGCAACTGACTCTATCTTTTGCAAGGACTTGTAAGAAAATTTATTCTTTTCTTATAGCATCAGTATTTCAGTAGCTATTTATATAGTCATATTACTGAGAAAATATATTACTTTATGATTAGTTCATCTCTGTTGTGTTATGTCCAGCTTTACTGAAAATCTACTTGAAAGTAAAGTGAATATGAATTACTAACAGACACCTAAAATCTAATATTTCTCAGAAGCTTACATGAAACTGAAAAGTTTGTTTAACCCAAGAGATGTAACAGATCACGTTTATGGGAATTCTTGCAGATAAAACAGGAAAGAGGTAATGCTGAGCTCAGAGTTAAGAACTGTGTGTTTACAAGATGAAATATATGTTAGTAAAGTAAATGGGTCAGCTGCCTGATTTTGCATTTTGTGCCTTTTAGGCTTTAGTCATTGGTTTTAACTTTCTGACGTCCTTGATTTTTCATTTGGTAAGAAATAAGTGATGCAGATTTTTTGGTATGTTATAGATCTAGACCATGCTACTTGATGTGTATTTTATTTATACTGTTCATCAGAGAGTCCCTAGGTTGCAGGAAATGCTAAGAAGCTGCGTAATAAACTTTTCTTCCCATGTTGAAACAAAATACAGGTTTTCTTTAAAAATTTTTCATACAAACACAAGCTGAAATCTTTTCTATGAAGACAAAATGATTTGGTGATTTTTAAAACCAAGTTTCACACACCAGTATAGTATTAAACAAAGCCATTATTTATTTTACTGTGGAATTTGAGCCCTGAGGCCTCTCTTTATAAAGAGGCACTTTTTAGTTTATACTTTTAACTGTTTAGTTTTTGGGAAAAAAGTAATATTTTAATTAATTAACATCTTTAACATGAACTAATGTGAAGACCAATCATTGCCCTCATAACTCATTACTTACATGCTGAATTTGATCTTTTCACATTGATTTCAGTTTTCTGAAAGTGTAAGAAAAGCAAATGTGTCAGGCATACAGTTGAAAAGGGAAAAGCCTTTTAATCATATGAAGAGAGAGTTCAAGAAGTGTTCTTTATTTCTAAAAAGGAATGAGAAAAGTCGGCGTGTTGCTATTGCTCCTGTACATAGAGATGGTGTCTTTGTTTTATTCCTCTTTATCTCTGAATCCTGCAGTGCCATCACAGCAGAGTGTAGTGTCCACCACTTTAAATGATAAGAGTTTCAATAGGCACTTTAGTGGAATTAAGAAAAATCTAACACTCTTCCACTGTGATGCCACAGAGCTATCTTCATTCTAGGTTGTCACGTCAATAAATTGTACATAATAGGCCTGAGCTTGTCTCAGTGTGTTTCTGAAATAACAAAGCAAAACAAAGCAACTCTATATTATAAGATTTATCTTGTGTTGGCAGAATAAACCAAAATTGACAAACTGACAATATAACTATAGCAACTTGCTAGAAACCAGATAATGAAAGGAATCTTGTCCTACAAAGCTTGTTTGTGTATGTGTGTGTGTGTGTGTACAGGTGTGTGAGTCCTAGTTGTGTTTTCTTGTTGTTAAAAATGTCTCCCTCAGTTGTGTTAGCCTTCACCTCACCCCTAAGTGACTTTATCAGGGTTATAGTTTTCTTCTTCTCCAAACATGTCCGCCAAGACTTTAAAGCGTGGTCCCCAGTCGGCCAGATAATCATAGTCCTGGTCAGCATCTGTGGTGAGAGAGTCAATGGAGCTGAGGGACTCTGCCACGGACCCATTTCCTTCATAGGCATATGTGGCCAAGGAGTCATATGGTGGTGCAGTTGGGTCCATGTCATTTTCCTGTAGCCTTTGATTAATGAAATCCCTTATGTCTGTGTTATCTTCCACTGGTGGCCTCTGACGTGGTAAACAGAGAGAGTCTGGTTTAATATCCCTGCGAATTTTGTTCTCTTCAATCACCTTTGGATTTCGCAGAGCCCCGATGTCAAAGGCCTGGGTGTCTTCCTCCCCACCGCCTTCATCATCATAGTGGATAACGTTGTCTCTGATGTCTTCCTTGGAGGTCATCAGGGTGTCTTTCTTCTTCTGTCTTCTCAGCGCTACATACAGCACAACTATGGCTAGAACAAGATAAAAGAGAAATTTGATCACAGAATGTAGACAGGTCATTCTATGTCACCATAAGTAAAGATGCGCCGGTGCTTGCTTAATTGCTTTAATAACGTACTGTTATTTTCAAACTCAGCGTAATGTAATGGATGAGATTATGTCTTTGCTGATTTTTTTATTGTCTAAAGTTAGCTTCATTTGGTGCTGTAAAAAAAAATCAGTAAAATTATCTACACTATCATGTTTATCCTTATATTGCCATATACTCTACATGAAAAATAATGCTTTATGAAAAGAGAAAATGATGGCTCTAACCATACACAACCATAAAAATTGATATAATAAAAAATGAACATTATGGATTGTAAGTACAACAGAAATGTCATCGATAGCTAATTTTCCAATTGTATTATTTCTCAATTGCATATTGGAAATTTGTATTTTTAATGAAATAATCCAAATCTTCTTTGAGACAATGAGTTTTAAAAGGAATATATTAGAAGGAGGAAGAAAAAAATGAAGAAAGAGAAGAAAGGAGGAAAGAAGGAAAAAAATGTAGAATATAAGGGCCACTGTTTAATAAATCATGTGAAATAAGATCTCTGATTGTTGTGTATTCCCTATCAAAATTTTGTTTAACTTCATGGAACAAGGTAATATTTTGAAATAATTGATACATTTTCATTGCATTAATGTATTTTTTCTTAGTCGACTCAGTGCTGTCCATTAAATTGGTGGGCTTTCTTTCCCATTTTTCAATGCTGCCATTCACTGCAGGAAGGAGATGAAAATGGAAAGCCTAAAGTACTCTGCGTTTGGTCAAAAAAGTGAGGGAATAGACAAATTTTACAGTGGATTCCATAGCAAGATAAAAAATGATAAAAATCAGTACTGTGCACAAGGAATTCAAAACACCTGCAATGGTTTGGTGTGCTCCGGACGCTTGGCTTACTGAGGGGCATGAGTGGGCTACAGCTGCCGGTACATGGACATGATGAGCTCAACGACTGCCTGATGCAGCAGGTGAAGGGCCCGTAAGCCAAAGCACAGCACCCGGAATTTGCCCAGTCTTGTTACATTTGTATGGAACTGTTGAGGGTTGATTTAGCTCCAAGAGAAAAGAGGCAAATGGGTGCAGGACATTGATTTGAAGCTATACACCCAAATCAAGTACAGCTGCAGATGTACAGATGTTATTTTCACTATGTCATTTTGAAGGTTAAAGTGTCAACCAAAAACAGATGCTAAGGATAATGTATTATAAATTATAAGGATATCAGAAATACTTTATTGTGTACTCCAAAGATATTGGTGTGGGATTAATACCTACACCACACAAAATGGACTAGAATTTATTGTTCAAGTCAGTAGGAGTCTGGCTCTGGGTGTTCTCCACAAATAATTATGTAATACTGTATTCCATGCTTCTCTCTCTAGTATTTGTTTTTAAAATTTTGTTTTCCATCCTAGAGATAAAGTCAGGTGTTAATAGGTGTCAGAATGTTTTTGGCTACATAGTGAGTGTGCATATATAAATGACACCACAACACTCCGTTGCATATTTGCTGTAATCTGATTTTAAAGGAAAGATTGGCAAAATGCACCATGTGAGCGTAGCAGTGAAATGTGAGTGATGGAAGAGCTGAGCAGAGTTGCTGAGAGATGGAAACACCTCAACCAGCTCTACATTCACTCGCAGAGATGTTGCAGAGTACACTGACTTCAATCCTTTTTCTCTGAGGTGCATCTAGATATTTTAGTCTGCTCTATTCTGTTAGAGGAGAATAGTAAGGATTCTGATGTGAGATGTGAGAAAAGCAGAACTCCTTCTGGCTGGCAGTTTAAGCAGGACAACAACAAATTGAGGTAAAAAAATACATTGTATTTTTTCCTGTTTTTATTCCTTTTTTATGGGACTGAAATTTTGAAATATTGTTCATGTATGATATAATCATGTAACAGACAATCATGTGTAGTAGACAGCAGTGATTACTGATACATAAAATAAATGGAGAAACAGTTCTAAGTGAAAATTTATGATAGGAATTTCATTGTGTCAAAGGCCAAAATTTTGAAATTTCCTCAGGGCTTATTTGAACATATTCTACATTTAATAATGGTATTCATGAGTTACAAAATAGAAAATTAATTGCAGAAAATTAAGTTTAATTCAATAAATTTAGATAATCTTGTATTTAGATGAGATAAGTCAGTGAAGAATGTTTATTTATATGGTAAATTGAGGAAAGAGATAGGAGAGAAAAGTAGGGAAACTAGAGAGATTGAGAGAGAGAGAGAGAGATTGAGAGAGAGAGAAAGAGATTGAGAGAGAGAGAAAGAGAGAGAGAGAGAGAGAGAGAGAGAGAGAGAGAAAAGAGAAGAGAAATAGTTAAACCAACCTAAAAGTATAACAATGCATAGAAGGATTGCGATCAAAGCCCCAGTGCTAAGTCCTACAGGCAGAAAAATTGCTTCCACATTACAAGACAGAATGGTACCATCAGAGTCACATCTACAAACTCTGATGGTCATTGTGTTTGTGCTGCTCTGGACCGGGTAACTGCTGTCTTCTATTACCACAGGCAGGAAATACAGCTCTTGTTGCCTGCGGCTGTATCCATTTCTTCTGGTTTCAATTCCAGCTGTGTTGTCTACAAAACATGACATTTATGGTGACATGGTTAATACACGCATCACTTCAACTCTTAAAGTTGGTATCTGCTAAGCAGTAGGAAGTTCTTCAGTTGGCAAAATGAATCATATTTTGATGATTTCTTTTAACTTTATGAAAGACATCAAACTATAATAAAATGTAATTAAAATATACTTTGGGAAAAGAAAAATCATTAATCTTGTGTGGTGAAAGAAATAAATTTTTTTTTGAGAAAGAATATATGATGATTTTAAACACAAGAAGCTATTAGACTGCTTTATATTTTTCTGCTGTCATAGACTCTTTGAGGAAAAAAATACTTTTTCAATGTCCTCAGATGTGTTACTGGAGGAATAACAAAGCATGAATATGTAAAACATTTTACATAAAAGCCTATTTTTAAAAATATATTAAAAATCAGTTGACTTAGTTTATCCAGTCTGTAATGTTATATATATATATATGTTGTTTTTAATATACTGAATATATATTTTTCCATATCCACAAATTCTACAACAGAATATTATCTTTGCAAAGAGAAGATATATAAAGTAAATATTTGTAAAGAAAATGTGTGCAAAACATATACATATTTTTGTCTTTATTCCCTAAACAGTAAAGTATAACAATTATTTATATAACATTTACAGAACATATCATGGTAAAGTAACTTAAAAATAATATAAAGTGTATAGCATCATCTTCATGAATTATATGCAAAATAACTTTTTATATAAGGGACATGGGCATCTATAGATTTGGGTATCTATGGATGGCAGGGAGTCCTGTTATCAAGCGCTCTTAAATAGTAAAAAAGGATTGCATATGCATTTATGTAGACTTTTATGTGTTTTCACTTTTGTACAACAGCAAAAGTAAGGAACATGGAAAGAATGATCTTGTATGTTAAAAACATGAACTTTCATTAAAATTTATAAGCACCGTGAGTTATAACACTTACTATATTAATGTGATGGCACTAAGGTAATGACAAAATTCACTTTAATTTTAACTCAATCAACAATGATATAAATTTGTTATAATGTAAGACTATACATTCTATCTTTATATAAATTCAATCAATATTCCTATTGAAAGTAACAGGTGTTTTATTTTATTCATAACACAATTTTATTTCTTGAGCCAATTAAAGTAATTCCTAGAAACAATTCCTATTTTATAAATACATAGCATGTAGTTTATTATAACCATGCACAATTAGCAATTAGGAATAATTTTAAAAATTAGAAAAATATATTACTCAGGACAATATGGGTTAGTATTTCAGTCATGTTCTATTATTCTACTTGTAGACTCCAAACTGAACAACCTGAATTTAGGTACTTTCTCTACATTCACAGCAAAAGAAAGTACCTTGTTGTGAAAACAATATGTAACAGGATTGGAATTTGCTTTGTAAGGATAATGTGCTATTGTTACAGACAGGATGTTTTCTAATTCAGACGCAAGAGACTGCGGTTTTCTCTATTAGATTCACTGAGAGTAAACTCAGGATGACAGAAGAGATGGAAAAATCGGGGCTAATTGAAGTAATGTTGAAATCTTCAACACTTCATTGTTAAACATTTGGTGCTGAAGGAAAGGAACAGAAATTAAATTTGCAACCTGAGTGCAAATGAAGAACAGAAATCCTGATGTGTCCATGTTTAGAAAAAGATAGAGACTTGGTATTTTTTTTCTTTTTTGAAACGAAAACAAAGCCTTATTTTTCAGTTTATTTTCAGTGTATTATTTATTGAGAACTGATAAATGAAATTTATTAGGCAGCTAGATATATGGTCACATCAGTCAATAAAAAGAAGTATCAAATATCTCCTACAAGTATATCTTTATTGGAAGATCTACATCAGGTTAATCATGAAAATATGAGTCACAGAGCACAGTGTTTTCTGAGTAAACTAAAAATTTATTAAAACTGTAGACTTTCACTACCCAACATTATGAAATCAGTCATTTCAATTCTTATTTTATAATAAAATAAATTTATTTTATAATAAAATAAATTTTATAGAATACAGAAGTTTAGAGTAGATAAAATACACCTAGTCACAAAACTAATGCAGTCAGGACAACTAACTCATACTTAATGGACCACAGATAAACCTTTGATAGGCAGTCCGAACATTACAATGACTCAGTTTATGATTCCAGAGGCATGATGAGACACCACTCTTTCACTTTTAGTAGAATACTTAAGAGTTTACACGAGTATTCAATACTGTACTATAAAATAGGATTTGTATTAAAGCTTTTGCTCATCTTTAGGTTACTGTAAGTGTTCTGAGCACAGTTAAGATAGAGTAAGTGGTGACATTCGGTAGGTTACATATATTAAATATGTTTTCACTTTAAGATACTTTCAAATTTTTGATGAGTTTTTAGATACAAAGCTTACTCACAGAGTAGGAAGCATCTGTATTTCTAAGGAGGCACTATTACGTTAGGTAGTGGTTTTAATGGAAACAAATTTAACAGCCTTAGAAATATTATTAAAAATGATGGTAGTAAGCATAAAAAAAGTGTGTGGGTAAACATAACGGCAGAAGTATCTGCTAAACTTATTATAACTGCTGCTTATTTTGAGCATTTTGTTAAAGCATATTAATATATAATTTTAACACAAATACTACGAAGTTGACATTACCTAGTATAAGTGTGCACGCTGAGAGTCTGCTGGTTAGGTGCGATGGAATGAACCCACAGTCCATCATCCTTGTTATAACACCCACATTCCCAACCTCTACTCAACCATGTGTTATTCAAATAAAACCGTTTCTATACTGTTATCTACTTGTGTTTACAAGTAACTTACATGTAGGACAAATAATATATTTAAAATGGAAAACACTCAATTTCCCAGATAATTTATATTCTTGACTCATGAAGAGGTAGTCTACTTTTATAGTGAAAGTTTGCTAGTTTACTGAAAACAATCTATATGGGCTAAATATTTGAAATACTGCAGAAAATTTTTGGACTTCTCATGCAGGGTTTTCCATACTTTATGAAATGGAGTGCTATTAGGAGAAGCACTCATTCCTAGTGTCTGTACCCTCGGAAGAAGCTACAGGATAAGAGGTTAATCTTTACGTGGTGATACTTACTCCTGAAATCACGGACTGTAAAATTTGGTTTGATGGCAGCCTCAGGTGATAATCTAAAAGAGAATTGCTGCCCAGCGGGTGAGAGATCTCGGTCTGCGGCACTGACTATCTGAATTATCTGAAACAGTGTTGAGATTAAACCTGTAGTCAGTCGTCAGTTTCAAAGGGAACTTACAACAATGGGCTAATAAATTTATTTAATGAAACATGCAAGTAGACAGAAATAAGCCTTTAGAATCACTATCAGCGGGCCAATTTTTTACACTTAATTTTTAGAAACAATTCTTTAAACATCTACTGGTAATAATGGCAGGTACAGTTACAGGACATAGTTTCATTTTAAATCAATATTTGCATACCAGAAAAGCTTACCAGCATTGAAAATTCTCACTAATAAGCAAAACAAAAATAAAATGTACTTGCTTGCCTTTAAAATTAGATGAAATAAAAGGTTTCTACCCTAAAAATGAAAATGCTTACTGGAAACAAAATATCTGATTACTTAAAAGTCCTTGCAATAGCAAAATTTTACACCAGTTATGTTTGTGGGAATGAGTTTTATTTTTATAAATGAATAAAGTAATGAGAAACAAAAGCCACAAAAATATATGCCATTTTGATTTCATGTTAATTTTTCTTATTCACTGGGAAGAAAAATTGTTTCTGCAGGTTTTAAAACAATCAAAACTAGGTTTCTTTTTTCAGAATATTTCCTAACTTGCTGCCATACATTGTGTATCTTGCAGTTAAAATCTGGGTACTTCAAGATGATACCTGTAAAAATGTGGAAACAAGTTAACTTACAGCCAAACTATGAAATTTATATCTCACTGTACAGATAAGTACATGAGAATGTCATTATATCATTTTATATTTTTGTTTTTTGAAACTCACCATCTTGTCTGCTTACCCTCTTGAGCACAAATACATTTTTAAATCATAATAGTCAATAACTTTGTGTCAAATAGCTTTCCCAAAGCTGGGGAAATGAGAAGACTATGTGCTGTCCAGAGGGTTAAGTTCTGGGAATAAATTAGAATTTTCTGAAGGAAGATAGATTTCAAGTATGGTGGCCTGGCCCCAGGGCATGAATTACACATCATGTGATCTTGGAATGATGCCATTAAATGTGATTCCTTTACTACTTTCTGTTTTGATCTGTAGTTGTCATCCAGTGTCATCACTATGGTCCACATCCCCATCTAGCTGTGCACATGCAACAGTGTATAAATGATACACAGATAAATGTGATAGAAAGCTATCATTGGGAAATTGAGTATCAGTGCAATATTAGTAATTTGAAAATTAAAAATTAATTGGTCCTTTACTATGAATTTCAATTCCTTGTCTTACTATGAATTAGTTACACAGAACTTATTTATCCTATAAAATTGTCAATGGTCACACTGTCACATTTCTGCATTAAAGACCATATCATGAAATGTGGTAATTTAGTCAAAAAAATCATTTTACAGATCCACTAAAACTTCACCTTTTCTTCACTTAGGCCGTTTTTTCAGATCACACTATTTCACTGATACAGTTTCTGCATGTTATTTAGGAATCAATATCAGATTGTCCAATTTTTGTTTTGTTTTCTTACTATGACTAGTAAGCAGTATTTAGCATCAAAGCTTATGAAGGCTATAACTTCTAAAAATATATTTTAAGATTCTGTAAAGCATAGAGACTAACACTTACCTGGAAGCATTACTTGAATGTTTCTACCCTAAGAAAAAAATCTCCCATGCAAATCTTCCCAGATCTACATGGCACCGTCTGTCTTCCTACTCTTTCTCTCCTTTTCTGATAGACACACACATGCACATTCAAGAGTCTGTATTATCTATTTCTCTAAGAAATAGATAATTCCTATGCATACCTCTGATTCCAGAGGCATGATGAGACATAAACTAAAAATGTGCAACCCAAGGGCTAATTTAGGATTATCCCTCATGCACAGGTGTCGTCTGGTGGAACACACAACACTCAAAAGATACTTGTTAGACTACAGTCTCCGCATGTAACAAACTCAGGTTCATTTCTAGTAACTTCCACATTTCCCAATCCTTCAATTTATTCGAGAAAACTATGGGATTAAACAGGGCTCTTTTCCCAAAGTGTTTCATTTAGATTATTATAAGATTTTGATTTATCTGAAATTATTAATACCCCCAATTTCCTGAAAGATAAAAGACTGGCATTACTTTTTTAACTTTTTGTGGTAGGGCATATGCTCAGCACATACATTTATGGCACTGTCAGTGTGGTTAGTATGAGTGAGAACATTTGTTTTCAGGTTTGTAACTTTTAATTTAACAGCTATGGAGATAGTGAATAGCACAGGTGTAAATATTTTACTAAGGAGAGTTAGGCACACAAACTAGAAATAAATAATAAAAGAGATTAAAGAGTGCACTTTTGAACAAAAGTGTAGTTGAAAACATTAATATTTGTTCTATTCAAATTTAACACTTTCACATTTACTCAAATAAGTGGTTATGCTACTTAATATATAGTAAACCAGAGCACATCAAAACATTCTTGTATTAGAATTAGGTATATAGTATTAGATTAATCATACTCTTGTTTTATGATATACTCTTCTCATATACAGGTTTGATTCTCATTATGCTATTCATTCAGCCTTTCAAAGAAGTATAGGAGGAAAGAAGAAACCTCCTATCCACCATGACTCTAGAAACCTAGGACTTTTACAATGACTTTTATTAACAACTTGGTCCTCCTTTGTAAGATCTCCACACTGTCTTCAACAAAAAATGACTTCATGAACACAATTCAAAGCATATTTAAAATAGCTTAGATATTCTCAATACAAATAAAAAAAAAAACCTTTATATCCCTCCTCAATATGCTTAGAGCCTTGTGTGAGCAAAGTAGGAAAAAAATACGGACAAAGACACCCTAAAGTTCTGCTTCTTGAATTCATAGTCACAAGTTCTTCAGAAATTCCACAATAATAGAGTAGGAAAGCCCCACAGAATCAACAATTCTAGATCTCGAATGATCCAAAGAACTTTGATTATGCAACCAAGACTTCCTGCCCTTAATATGTATGCATCTGCCGTTAAATAATGTTTGATATTTTATGTGGCTTACTTCATAAACACTTTTGATCCAGAAAAATAAATACAGTATAGGTAGATGTACTGACGTCGGGATTTACAAGTTAACGCACACATGATAAATCTTTAGATACTTGAGTCAACAATTTGCGAAGATACCTGTCCTGGTTTGGCATTTTCACACACCACTGTCTCATATGGCACAGATATTTCTGGAGGAAATTCATTGACATCCAAGACATTAATCAGTATGTTGACTTTGCTGGTTAATAATGGGTTACCTGTTAAAAACATAAAAGGATAAATGATAATCAGATTTTGATTCTTCAATAAATATTATATATTTCTAATTACCCTTCACAAATGAAAAATATCTTTACTATTATAGGAAATTGTGAGAGATAAGATGACAAAAGTATAACAGTGTGAATATTTGAGGCTTTGATGTTTGCTGTCCAAAAATTAACAGAGCATAGTACAAAATTTCATCACTGAAACCCACCACCAGATTAAGACTAACCACTAAAACTGAGAAGGCATCCTAGCAGGGCCTGATAGGATGAGTTAACCATCTTACCAAGGTTAGTTCACACAGTCTTCACTAATAGCTTTATTTTTCTCTCTACATAGAGTGTTCTATGTCATGTCAATATAATAGAAACTACTGTCTGGAAGATCCTACTTGTTTAAATGGTTCCTTCAAAATGAATCTTCTTAGAAGTTTCCTCTTGAGAAAATGAATGATTAGGAGACTGAAAGGGAGAGGGCTTTTGATAAGTGAAACTTAGGAAAATCGATGTCAGGTAGCAGACTCAGGAATGGATCAGAGGAAGCTAGTATAGACTTTGAAATTACGTGCTGATGATAGGAAGGGAAAGAATAATGAATAATTGCTGACAGCATCAAAAAAAGTACCACGTGACCATGTGTCTGCCCAAAGTCCTTTTACAGGTTTTTGCCCCAGAATAATGACTTAGTAACTTCGCCCCTGTCGTTTATTGAAGACTAGGAGTTACATAATAAGTTCACTAGAGAACAGTATAACTCATATTTTAATTTATTTAATCTAATATTTTACCTTATAAGTTTTTACACACGGATAAATTTTGGAAGATGCTATTCAGATTATGGAGGCTGAAGAACGGGGAGTTAAAATGCAAATCCAAGAACATGAAAAAGCAAAAACCAGTTATTCCTATATACTTTCTCTATTGATTGGCTTCTGTTATGCCATGGGAGATTCAAAATAGTCATTTAAACTTCTGGAAAGCTTTGAAGAATGCAAACTAAAATCTTACTGAATGAGTCTGACAAGCCTAAAAAATCTTGTCTTTGGGATTCATCGAAAATGAAAGGAAAGCCCTCTAATCAGAGGCTTAAGAAATGTTTATACATTAAAATATGATACAGTGAAATCCATCACTGTACACAGTAGTGACTCAGATAACCTAAAGTGAGAATGAGAGGTATGTTTTGTACCATGGGAGATAACTATGGAAGCTATCTTGATAATACTGAGGAATGATTTTGATAATTCACACTACTTAAAACATATTATTCAAACAGCATTATCTCATTTGATATAAAATTAGATTTCATAAACTTAATTTTATAAATTAATTTCTGTTACTCATTATATAACTCATTTATTTGATACAAAACACGGTATTTATAGAGCACTTCATAAGTTAGTTGTACATAATAGCATAGTCTTTCACAAAATGTTCAATACATTTTGGTATACATTATTGCAGTCAATGCTAGTATTTTGTGAAGATTAACTAAAACTACCATTTTTAGTGGTACTTATAATTTATATAGTGTAAAATATAGATAAAATGAAAAAACTTGATTACACTAGGTTCAGTTTTCTAAAGAAATGGGAAATTAACAACAGTGCTAAAACTGATGCCTAACCCCAGTGTGGCGACCCATGCCTATAATCCAAGCACTCAGGAAAGGTGAGGCAGAAGGATGGCCATGAGTTCAAGGCCAGCTTGGGCTACCTAGTGAGACCAAGGCCAGACTGAGCTATACAGCAAGATCCTATTCAAAAAATTAACTTTAAGTTAATTTAAAAAATAAAACCAATGCCTAATTCTTCATAGTGCTTGCAAAGAACCAGTGTTCTAATAGAGTGCATAGATGAACGCAGAGTTCCTAGTAAGTATGTTCCAGACAATATTAGTATCACCATTATTTTAGCATCACCATTATTTATGTGGAACTCTGCAGAGAGGGGAAGTGTAATCTTTCCAAGATGTCAAAGTTCCGTGTGAAAAAGTTAAGTTTAAAATACAGGCATTTGGGCTTCTCACTCCATGCTTTTGAACTCCATTACATATGACTAGAAAAACCACATTGACATTCATAGAACTATTTTTATAAAGACAACTAATTCATTTTATAAATGAGATTTTAAAAATATACATGAGTAACAAAAATTCTGCCTTTGAATGATGAGAGAATGAACTTCTGTTTTCAATTTTATGTGATAATGAGCTATAAGTTCTAAAGCCCCGTGAAGACCAAATTTTCTCTCTTATTTTTCTCAAGAAAAATAAGATTATGTATGTGAGTACATAACATTGGTATATGAATGGAATATGTTCACAGGAAAAGTATTTTCTTTCACAACTCTGTTTATCTTAGTAATTTGCCTTTAAAATATAAAGAAGGTTATGAAAATGAATTTAAGCCTTTTTTCCTTAAAAATTTTTCTTTTGCTCATTTTAACCTATTTATTCACTTCAAACATATTTTGAACATCTGACTCCACGAGTAAATTGTTATAAAAAATATCATCAGTAGTGTAATATCTCATTATTGATAGCTTTAAGGGATGCATTAAGCAGTGTAAATGAGACCAATCTTTGCTGTGTGAAACTGTACCATGCCTTGTAAGATACCTCTATTTATGAAAAGTTAAGTAAATATTCAATCAAGGACAGAGGAAAAATAATAACAACATATTCATGTTGCTGGAAACGAGTAACAGTTTCATGGTTTAATTATGGCATTTTCTCTTCTTTACATATTGAAAAATTCTCCATAATTTAAGGTGTAAAAATATCACTCTGTATTTCTCAATGCCAGTTAAGGTAACAACAATGTCTCTACTTGAATACTGAACTCAGATCTCATGGAATTTTTGTGTTAGTGTGCAATTCACTGGAGTAATGTGACATTCTTTCACATAATATATAATTAATTAAATTGCCTCTTAAAAGTAATGATCTAGTTTCTTTCTGTCTCATTTAATCTATACTGAATCTGTACCTTACCTATGAAATTGGTTTACCTTTGATTTAGCATATATATCTTGATCAAATTATTTGACAAAACACAATATAGAATTTAGTTATTATTGAATATAAAGCAATTACATTTAGTAAATATTAAGTAAGCAAAAACTTAATCAATTAATTAAATTCTTAAAAGTCAAATCTTTTCCTTCCAGTCATTTTTAATCTGTATTTTACATTTAATGTGTTAATACCTTCTTATTCCCATAGATAATCAAAAAAAATTCTATATTTCTTTCCCATGTTTCAAAAAATGATCTGTTTAATCTGTTCCTTATCCTGATGATAGCTTAACTCTTACAGTACTATGAGTGAATTTGAGTTAGAACTGCCTTATTATTTAATTTTACAGGTCAGCTTTTACTAAAGAATACTGCAAATTAGCAAAATTAGAAATGAAGGAAAGTACATAAGTTCACATCACAAGTGAAATAAAATATGATGAGGAGTTATGGTAGATATGTCTATGCCAAAAATTGTCAACTAAGTGGACAAATTCTTATAAAGATATGGATTATAAAAATAAGTATTTTATCTGAAATGTAGAAGAAAATTTAGATATAGTAAAAAAAACCTCCACTACAAGAAAAGCCACATCTCAATGACTTCGCTGGAGAATTCTATTAAATATTTAAATGACAAAAATATTAATTTTCCACAACCATTTTTAGAAAATAAATGAAGCACTCACCCTTACTTTTACGTCTTGGTTACAAAGTCAATCAAAAATTTCACAAGAAAGCTAGAGAATAGCTAAGTATATTTTATAAACATGGACACAAAAATTACTTATGATATTAATACAATTCTTTCAGTATATTGCAAAGACCATACTCAGTGACCCAAGGGGAGCTAGCCCAAATATGCTAACCTGGTTTAACATACAAGAGAAATATCTTGTAGGAAAATAAAGAAAAATAAATGATATGGCCATTTTAATCAGTTCAGAATTAGCATTTGGCAAATCCTACATCTATTCATGCTCAAGTCTCTCAAGAAATAATAAACCGAAGGCAACTTGTTTGACTCAGCAAAGTGCATCTCTAGGAAACTGAAAACAAACACCACGGTGAAAAGTAAAATTTTTTGTCTTCGATGTTGTACCTGGGACAAGAATGTTTCCATATCTAACCCTGCATTTTGATGTTTCTCTGATTGCAATCTGACTAAAACAGTTTTTCTGAAAGAAGATACCCAGGTAGAAAGGCATCCCTCCTAGATAAATCCTTTTGAAATTGACCCAAATTCAGTGATAATTTGTTTTACAAAAAGAAGTAAATAAATCTGGAGATGAGAAATATTGAATATTGAAAATATTGAAAATATACTCAAGAGGGCCGGAGATATAGCTCAGCTTCATCAGCACCTGACTGGCAAGCACAAGGTCCTGAGTTCGATTCCTGGTACCAAATATATATATATATATATATATATATATATA